CTTGCCTATATACTTTTATATTCATTCCCTACCTTTGCTTTGAAATTGGTCATACATATAAAAGTGAACCTTTGTTCTTTCTTCTCACCATATTCAATAATTAGCTTTAAGTAAATTAAAGTTCTAAATGTAAGACCTAACTTTATTAAACTTCTAAAAGACAGCATATGAGAAAAATCAATGCTACCTTGGATTAGGCACATAATTCTGAGAAAGGATAACAATAAACATGAAAGAGAAAATTAAAAATATAAATTGGATTTTATCACAATTAAAAACTTCCTCTTTTCAAAAACACATTGTTAATGACAGGAACATGGCATCAACAAACTGAGAATAATACTTTGAAACACATTTTAATAAAAGATCTGCATTCCAGAATATGTACATTACTCTTTTAACTCAATAGAAAATAAACACCCTAATTTAAAATAAGCAAAAATGTAAATAAAAATGATATATCAGGTGCAAACAAACAAAGATTGTTATTACTGAAATTTAGGGGGAATGAGAGGGAGGGGGGAGACCGGCCGGGGGGGTGGGGTGGGATGGGAGAAATAGATAAAAAAATGTACTTGAAAAGTAACTAAATAAAATTTAATATTAAAAAAAAGAAATTTAAAAAGAAGAGTGAGATACTGCTGCATACTATTAAGAATGGCTTAAAACTAACAAACAAACTAAGTTTTAGTAAGGATCAGTCTTAACTGAATCTCTCGTTTATTGCTGAAAATGCAAAATGGCACAACCACACTGGCAGTAGTATAACGGCTTCTTATAAAGGCATTCCACAAATGCCTGTTTTAACCAAGAGCAATAAGAATACATTTCAAAATAACACTGACACACATTCATAACAGCTCTACTTATAATAATCAAAACCTAGAGAAAAACTCAAAAGAGAATCACTTGGTGAGCAAATAAACAAATTGTCACATAGTTATACAATGGTAACTATACCACAATACAATTTTTTTAAAAAGCTGCTGTTACCCTCAACACCATGGATGAACCTCAAAAGCACCATGCTAAGAAAAAGACACCATACACAAAGGTTACTTTATGCTATATGATTCCATTTATATGACTGTCTAGAAAAGGCAAAACTATAGAGATATAAAAGGGAGATTGGTGATTTCCAGGGTCAAGGGTTCGGGCAGCAGACTGGTAGCAAAACTCAATAATGCCTCCCTCCCCAAATAGTCTACATTATAATTCCTCTGTACCTGTAAATGTTAGTATGATAAAAAGCATTTTGCATATGTGATTAAGTTAAGAGCCTTCAGAATGGGAATGAACATTGTGCTGGATTATCCAAGGGGCATTTTGTAATCAGAGTGAGCAGGTGCAGGAGTCGGAAGGAGTGCATAGGAGGGGTGACAGGAGGAGGAGAACCAATGAGACAATGAAAGACTGGGGTGATATGTCCGCAAGCCAAGAAATAGGGAGAGTCTCTAGAGACTGGAGGAGACTACAGATTACCTTCTGGAGCCTTCAGCAGAAGTCAGCGCTGACAGTACTTCGATTGTATTCCCATAAGACTTACTTTGGAATCTTGATATTTAAAAGTATAAAAGAGTGTACCTGTGTAATTCTGTGGTAGTTTGTTTCAGGGGGAAATGCGATTCTCATATAGAATATGAGGGAACTTTTACAAGTGATGGAAATGGTGTATTTCATTACTGTTTTTGTCATTATAAGACTGTAAGTATATCAAACCCCATGGAACTATAAACTTTTCATAAATTATATGTACATTATATAAAGCTGATTAAAAAGGAAAGTCATATTTTATGTCCAGTCCATTCCCATTCTTTTACCTAAATTTACCTGTAATGCTCTAATTTTCTCAATCTCTTTTCCATCTATTGATATCTTGCCAATCCTTTCAAATGCAACTGAATTCACAGACTTGCAAGATAGTCCTAGCTGCTTCTGTCCTCCAGTGTCCTCAAAATTTCTCTCACAAATAGTTCTTATCCTTTTCTGCCTGTGGTATCAATACTTGTAAGAATTCCCTGGTAAATTATAGGTTTCTTGTGACCCAGCACCATGAAGCTTTGTGTCCTGACCACAAAACAGCACAAATCCTTGCAAATAGTATCTATTCCATTCAGGCGTGATGAAAAAAAATGCACTCATTCATTCATGCTTTTATTTAATCTGGAAACATTGCCCGAGTCACTACTATGTGTCTGGTTCTATATTAGGTACTAGATAGGTATTAAAATGTCTTTTTGCTATCACAAAGTTCTTTTTCTTTTATTCCTTCTATAGCAGAGATTCAGTACATTTATTGTGCTAAGAGCTCCTGTTTGTTCATAAAAGAGAGCAAGATAGAAACACTGCAGACATCTCCTAAGGTGATTAAACAGCACTTAAAGAGCCCTGTGCATCTGGGCTCCACTGGCTCTTTCAGGTACAAAGATCCACACAGCCTGGCTGACCTGTGATGTCAGTGTGTTACTGCCTACAGTCCTGATTCCCACTTTGTTAAACAGCATGATGAACCAGCTATTCAATTTCTTCCTCTCAGCTCCAAAAGCAATACTTTGTGCTTCCAATTATGTAATAGATTCTGCTGTAGTGGCGACTGCTGATACATTTTTACAGGGCATAGCCAGGCTTTTTATCATGCAATCACATTAAATAACAAGCTACCTGTTCTGCAAAAGACTGGCTAATAATCTGGTCCAGATGATAACACATTATACTTTATGCTAAATTCTAAACTGTGGGCTAATGAAGTTTCTGGGGAAAAGGACACGGTCCTGGTATACACTGAGTGTACTGCATTTTTATTTTGGCATTTGCAATTTTCACCTCACAAAATTCCTATGAACCAGTTTTATTTTTACAGAGCTTTGAACTAAACCATTGTGTTCACTGGTCTCATAAATGTTTGATATCTGATTCATCTACTTCTTATTTTTACAGAAACTGTACTGAAAAATGGAAAGCAGTGTTTCAAGTTTTCATTGTATTATAATATAACTTCCAAAATGGCACCTATATGGAGCTGTAAATGGTACTAATTTCTCTCCTCACAGTTTAGGAGGGACATAGCTGGCTTTTTTCTCTCTTCTTCTTTAAAAATATTTCCTCAATTTTTGGAGGATTTTAGCTTTATACATTTTACAAGGTTTGACTTGTGCTTTTAGCTTTCTACCAATGTTTACAGAGTTTCTTAATTTAGAAAACACTAGTCATTTATACTGGAACACTATTTAAAACATGTTTCAAACCTAATAACTCAAAGTTTTTATGATAACATTGTATCATACTATTTTTAAAAAAATAAGGCAAATTTGACAGATTTCATAGTGAATCACTGTATAAATATTAACTTACTTTTTCACATAACTATCGATTCCTCTATCCGTGCATGAATCCATCTGATTTTGAAAATGTTTCAAGTAAATTAATTGCAGCCATCAGTAAACTTTCCTCTAGATACTTCAGAACATGCACTATTGCTGGAGATCAATATTCACTTTGGCTTTTTTCCTTTGATGCAAAATTTACATACTTCAGTGAATTGCACATGTGTTAAGTGTCCATTCACTAATGTCGACATAGCCTGCATCTGTGCAAAGTCTCCGTCAGGGTGTACAGAAACTTCACCACCAGTTCTCTCTCTCAGTCTTCCCTTCCAGTAACTACACCTACTCCATCCCCAGAGTCCATTTCAACTCTGACTTTTTCTAACTTCGTATTTTAGTAGCTAATTATCTTTATTCTTTTTTTATGTCAAAAACATGTTTATTAGCATGATTAAAAACATTTTCTTGAATAATGAAAGAACATCTAAACAGAAAAGAGTACCAGTGGCTAGACCATATAACCTGTATTTGCAACTGAATGAATAACTTTATTGCCAGTCTACACTTGAAAATGATCCATATTTATTGTTTTGATTTGGAATCATGACTATTGGCTGGATCAGGGAAGAGTGCCCACTGCAATTAAGTATAAACAGTATCTTTCCTAACTGGAGTGAAACCTGCATTTTTTAATAAGAATAAAAATCCTCAAAAAATGTTTTTTTAAACATTCCCTTTACACATTGTGGGGGTGACTTTCAAGTCCCCTCATGTGCTACAGATGAGAGTAAACATGACTGAGACATGATGTGATCTGCTTGGGGAAGAGGGGTGGCCAGTTTTCCAGAGGAAAAAGACCTTTAGCAGTGGCCAGTTTCTCAAGGGAAAAGGCGTTGAGCCCCTTCCTCAAAAGGCTTTTATTGGGTTGTGATACACAGGAATACAGGGTGGCAAGGATCAAACAGATAATATTTCAAAGAAATCTGAGGCCTCAGTCTGAGTCAGAGTCTGTCAGGAAGAGTTTTAGGGTTTCTTGCTCGAACCCTTAACATATGAATGAAAGCACTCTTAGCAGAGCAGATTTCACAGGTTTATCGGGAAGTCTTTGTGATGCCAGATTTTTACCAGGACATGCTCTATCAAGGCAAGGAGCTGCACCTCTCCCCATCAGGTATTCAGGCTTAAGGGGATTAGAGCCAGGAAGCACTTCTCCCAGAGAACATGGGGTCTTGGGCTTTGTCAAAGCTGGGGGGCGAGAGTCCATTGGTCCCCCTTTGTTGCAGCCTCCCCTTCCATGATGGCCTCCCAAGTGGTCCTGTATGGCCTAGGTTGCCCCTCCTCTGAGGGATCTTACTCATCAAAGACTTCTGACCATGCTTTGGGGGCAGGGAGGAAACTGAGGCAGCATTTGCTACCAGAGACAAGCCTTTGTCTCCTGTGGCTCACATTCCAGAGGTCACTGACTCCTCCTTAGCCACAGGGAATAGAGTTACAATTCCTAGAACCAGGCAGAGTGGTCCACAACATTGCATTACAAACAAACAATTAGTATTTTAGCTTTTTAAGTTCCTACTTGATATTTAGAATGACAGTCCCCAGAGGTCCCACCCTTCATGTAATGGAGAATGCCAGCCCTCAAGAATGAGGTGGATGCTGAAGACTGTGGCCTCTGCAGGTTTACTCTGGTTTGAGCACAAAGACAGCAACATCTAGCACATGGTAATCATTACACATGTCCCCTTCAAACAGGTACAGAAGTCTGGTGAAAGCTTCAATAACCAAACCCGCTTTCCTGAAAACTTCAGTCGGACTGTTCACTTGTTCCTCCCAGCTCTCTTCCTTGATTTCCAAAATTTCTGATGGTTTCTCCCACTTGCCATCTACGTTTTCTACATTGGGATGAAAGGGTAAGGCCAGGGCCAGGATAGCCCTGCCTTCAGTTGGCTCCCAGACACTTCTGATATCTTCCAACAAAGTCAGGGGCTGATCACAGCAGCCCAGCAATTCAAGAAGCTGATGACATCATGCTGGAACCCTGTATTCTGCCATTCATTTATATTAGACACTCTATTTCTTCTGAAGATGCCATATCATAGTGTAACGGTGGATAAGTGTAATGGTGGGAACTTGAAATCCACCCAACCATTCTTTTGATAATGTTTCTGCAAGCGCTGACTCTGACTAATATGTAGCTTGCAGATGATCAGCATTTTCTATAAGAATCCTAGAAACTAACTTCAAAAGATAGTCCCTGCCCTTCAAGTACCCCAGTTCTGAAAGGTTTGCTGACCTTCATCCATGGATCCAGGATGACATGAAGCTGGCATGATGTGAAGCCAGGGTGAGCAAACCAGGATGATGCACACTAGACCGTCATTTGCCTTATAAGAATGGATTGTGCATGTTCGCATGTAGAGAACTCTTCAGTCCCCTCCCTTGATCTCTTTGTTCTACTCCCCTCTCCCTCCATATAAAAACTCTGCCTCCAGTGAGAGATGAAGGTGGGCTTGGTGACATGAGACCCCCATCTTTCAGGAGCTGGGCTTTGAGATGTGAGGCCCCCATCTTCCAGATGGTGGGCATCTGCGAATCACTTTTTCTGTAGATCAGCACCTGCCTGTGGAGTATTAGCTTTCACAGCAACTGGTTGCAATAGTTTCAGGTATCTCAGTGGTATAATTTTCTTCAAAATGAGGGCTCATGAATTTTGTAACTTCTCCATCTCCAGTACCCCAATTAAGAAATCTATGAGTTTTCCAGTCTGGATGAATTTTAAGCAGTCTCTGAAGTTGATCTGGTGAAAACACAAACATTGAGCCTCTTCCTAGAGACCTATTGACAGATGTTGTACACATAAGCAGAGTAAAAACAGATGACACGGATAAGCGATATAATGATGCGGTTATTTAAGAAGATCTACATTTCTTGACCAAGGTAACACTGAACGAGCACAACCTGGAGTCACTCACACAATTTTTCTCTGTTGCACACATACCACTGGTGGTTCACCTTCCTGCTGCCTGGGGTCGCTTCTGGCCAGCTGGCACAGCTTGTCATGTTCACGTGCAGGGAGTAGGTAAGAAGGCACTGCAGCATTCACATCTTCCACATCAGCCACATGGACTCCAGGTTCAGGCAAAGTTAGCTTGCCAGCATTCTTATTGAGGGTGCAGACCACCCCCAGTGCCTGGGAGAGAAGCAGGATGAGCCTGAGCCTTGCCCAGCTCGGACCTTTGTGCCCAACTTGCCCATCTAGTTCCTGCAGCGACAAGGCTAGAGCAATACTCATGAGCTGAGAGATTTAGTGACATTTCAAATAAAAGTACAAAAAAAAAAAAAAAAAAAAGGTCCATAATGGCAGAGTAAAGACTTCTGAAAATCTAAACAATCAAAAAGAACACTAATAAAAACTGTCAAAACTAAAATTTTCAGAACGCTGAAATTACTAATGCCTTATAAGTATGTGAAAAACAGTTATTAAGCTGAATTTCAGTTTTAAAAAAAGTGAGCTCGAGTTATTTTAATTTGTCCTAATCCTACCCACTCGTTTCTCTCCAGCTCTTCAGTAACGTGGAAAACCAATAACCTTGCAATTATGATTAAAGTTATAAAAACCAGCTTCCAAGAAGCTACAGAACAGATTTCGAGCCTCACAAAACCTTATCCACAAGAATGTCACCACTGGACTTGTTTATCAGCTTGCTGAAAGCTCCTTTATCAGGCGTCTGTCTTCATTCGACCTGACTTCAGGAGCTCACTCTGTGGGAACGCGCCATCCCCGAGGCCCTGTGGCAAGTGATCACAGCTGATTGTTTAGTATCAAAACTGCCTGAGTGTGGCTAACGAGAGGCTGACCAAAATCTTAAAAGCAAAACACTGAGATATAAAATGTCATATTTCTCTGACATATTCCTGGGAAGCTAGAAGGTCATATAAATACAAAGGTCTGTGTGCATGCCCAGAAAGGACACAAGAAAGTCCGAACCTCTCACTTCCAACTGCCTGTGAGGCTCAGCTCAAGAAAATAAAAGCTAAGGCAGAGTTTTTGGGTTTTTTTAAATTTTTTTTTGTTTTATTGATTATGCCATTACATTTGTTCTATTTCCCCCGCTCTGTTCCCCTCGACCCTGCACACCCCTCCCCACCATTCCCCCCCTTTAATTCATGAACACGTGTCTCAAGTTCTTTAGATTCTGTATTTCCCCTACTATTCTTACCCTTCCCCCTCTCTATTTTCTAAGGCAGAGTTTTAAACTCCCTGTCAGACCATTGAAAACATACCCCAGCCCATACATGCAACTGCTCAGCAAAGGCTGGAAAAATTATTGGCTAAGAGCATTTAAGGAAATCTTTAATTATTAACTGACAACTGAACTAATCAAAGACTCCAGTGGCTTTACCTGACAGAAAGAGTCCTTTAAAGTCACTAAACAAACAGAAACAACAGTTAAAGCCACATATCCTGAGAAGAGGTAGAATTTGATTTCCAAATTTTTCACATTATATTATTTAAACAGTTTTTTAAATAAGATGCCAAATGTAATCTACAAGGCATTCGTTAAAAATAACTAACATGTATATTAAAGAAACAAGAAATTTTAAATAGCATAATAGAAAATATCTATGGAATACAAAAAAGAGGGGAAATAAAAAATAAAAGAAAAAATAAGTAAGGCAAGTCCTGGACTAGACCAGATGGCTTCACAGGTGAATTTTTACCCAACATTCAGAGAGAACAAAAACTTCTTCTCAAAGTGTTCCCAAAATTTCAAGAGGAGAGAAGACACCTAAGCTTATTTTATGAGGCCAGCATTATCTTAATTCCAGTTCCACATAAAGTCTCTACAAAGAAAGAAAATTGTAGGCCAATATCCATGATGAACATAGGTGCTACAGTCCTCAAAAAGTATTAGCAAACTTATTCCAACAACATATTAAAAAGATCATGCACCATAATCAAGTGGGATTTATTAGGGGATATAAGGTTGGTATAATAACTATAAATCAATAAATGTGATATACCTTATAAACAAAATGAAGGATAAAAAAAACACGATTATGTCAACAGATGCAGTAAGAGCATATAAAATCCAACACATATTTATGGTAAAAACTCTCAGTAAAGTGGGAATAGAGGGAACAGGGCATCACATAACAAAGACCATGTATGACAAACCCACAGCCGACATCATCCTCAATGGGCAAAAACTACAAGTCTTTCCCTTAAGATCAGAAACAAGACAAGGATGTCCACTTTTCACCAATTTTATTCAACAGAGCACTAAAAATCCTAGAAATCAGATAAGAAAAAATTAAAAAGTAACCAAATTGGAAAGAAAAAGTAAAACTGTCATTGTTACAGATGATGGAGTAATGAATATTGACAACCTTAAAGATTCCACCAAAAAATTACTAAAACTAAGAAATGAATTCAATAAAGTAGCAGGATACAAAATAAATACCCAGAAATCTACTGGACTTTTATAAACCAATAACAAACTATCGGAAATGGAAACTAAGGAAACAATCCCATTAAAAATTGCTTCAAAAAGAATAAGATAAAATACCTAGGAATAAATTTAACCAAGAGTGAAAAAGACCCATAAACTGTAAGACACAGAGGAAAAAACTTTGAAAAAGATATGAATAAGTGGACCCATACACCATGTTCATGGATAGGAAGAATTAACACCATTAAATTTCCATGCTATCCAAAGCAATTAATAGAATCAACAAAATTCTTATCTATATACCAATGGCATATTTCACAGAACTAGAACAAATATTCCAACAATTCATAAGGAACCACAAAAGACCTAGAATAGCCACAGCAATGTTGAGAAAGAACAAAGTTCAAGGAATCACACTACCTCATATCAAACTATACTACAAGGCCATAATAATCAAAATAGCATATTATTGGCATAAAAACAGACATATAGATCAATGGAACAGAATAGAGAGCCCAGAAACAAACCCACACCTTTATAGTCAATTAATATTTGACAAGGAAGGCAAAAATATACAATGATGTAAGAATAGTCTATTCAACAAATGATGTTTGGAAAAATTGGACAGATATATGCAAAATAACTAGACTACCTTCTTACAGCACAAACATTAATAAAATAAACTAAAGACTTAAATGTTAAACTTGAAATCATAAACATGCTAGGAGGAAACATAGGTAGTAAAATCATGGACATTTCTCATAGGTGAAGGAAGTAAGCAGGGAAAAAACCACATCATAGTCATAGACACAGACAACAGCATGGTGATTGCCAGAGGGGCAAGGGAGCAGGTAGATGAAGCTATAGGGGGAATAAATAATAAATGGTGGTAGAAGGACACTTGACTTGGGTGGTAAATACATAACACAACGCACAGATGATGTATTACAGAATTGTACATCAAAAACTTATATAATTTTATTAATTAATAACATCCCCAATAAAATGAACTAACAAGCAAAATAAGAGACAGACTCATAGATGGAGAACAGGATGACAGCTATTGTTAGGGGGTAGAGGGTGGAGGGAACAAGCTAAAAGGAAAAAGGAATCAGACATGGACAACAGTGTGTTGATTACGGGGGGAGCAGAATTTAAGAGAGTTAAATGGTAATGGAAAACGTGTAATAAAAATTTTAAAATTAAATAAATAATTTATAAACCAAAAATGATCAAAATGTCTAACATAAGTTTAACTTTTAGTAATTACATTAAATATAAATAAACTAAACACCAATTCAAAACCAGAAATGAACAATTTTTTAAAATTATTCAACAGTATGCAATCATACAACAGACACACTTGAAGTCAAATAGATTGAAAGTACAAAGATGTAAACATTTATGCAACACAAGCAATACCTACAAAATAGACATTAAAACAAAAATCCTACTTGAAGAATATTTTTGAGTAAAAATGTGTCAGCCCATCAGGACGACATGAAAATTATAACCATGCAGTATATGTACATAATAATAGAGCACCAAAATACATAAAGCAAAAAGTGACAAAATTGAAGGTAGAAGTTGACAACTCAATCATAATAGTTATAACATTTAAGACCCAATTTTCAGTACGCACCAAACAGCAAAGATTAAGAAGGGCATGGAAGACCTGAATTATACTATAAGCCAACTGGATCTAACAGATGAATATAAAATATTCTACAAGCAACAGCAAAATACACATTTTCTCAAGTGCACATGGAACATTCTCCAGTGTAAGCCATTTGTTGTGCCATAAAAGAAGTTTCTTTTTTTTACTGTTCAAGGAGAACTGTCTTCATTTTTTTCTCCACAATTCTCCCCCACCCACCAACCACCATCTTCTACCCTCAATTCTTCCTCGCCTTGGTTTTGTCCATGGGTCCTTTATATATGCTCCTTGAAAACCCTTTTTCTTCTTTACCCTATTACCCTCCTTTCCCTCCCCTCTGGTTACGGTCAGTTTGTTCTTTATTTCCATGTCTCTGATTATATTTTGCTTGTTCGTTTGTTTTGTTGATTATGTTCCACTTATAGGTGAGATTATATGGTATTTATTTTTCACCACCTGGTTTATTTCACTTAGCATAATGCTCTCCGATTCCACCCATGCTGTGGTGAAGGGTAGGAGCTCCTTCTGTCCTTCTGCTGGCCAGTCTCATCTATTATTTGTTTGGCTAAAAAGTTCATTGGGTTTCTACAGTACGCTGGCTCTGATAACTCTTAGTTGTCTTTAACTTCATTAGAAACAAGCGTGTTAGATTGTATTGTGACAGCTGTCATATCAGCATGCATTTAAAAATTCTTACCTAAATTGGTGAAGTTTTATGTAGTCATTTTAATATTGAAGATGGAAGAAAGTAAGCAACATTTTTGGCATATTATGCTTTATTATTTCAAGAAAGGTAAAAATGCAACAGAAATGCAAAAAAAATTGTGCAGCGTATAGAGAAGGTACTGTGACTGATCAAATGTGTCAAAAGTGGTTTGCAAAGTTTCATGCTAGAGATTTCTTTCTGGATGGTGCTCCATGGTCAGTAGAGCAGTTGAAGTTGATAGCAATCAAATTGAGACATTAATTGAGAATGATCAATATTCTACCACATGGGAGATAGCTGACCTACTCAAAATATCCAAATCAATAGTTATTGGTAACAATGAAAACTGTGTGTTTTATTTTATGGGAAAAAAATAACAACATACTTGCACAAAGATGTTTATATCAGGTTCACTCATAATTGTCAAAACATGGAAGCA